CTTGCACTTTTCTCTCTTTGTATGTTCTGATATATGCTGCTCTGTGGGAGGAGCTCAGCTCAGAAGGATCTCATAGCTTATGTGCAGATGATGATAACACCTTTGAATTGTAATAACAGTGTACACAGTATGTATATGTATATATACATATATACATATATACATATATATATATATATACATGTATATATGTATATATACATATATACATATATATATATATGTATATATGTATATATACATATATATATGTGTATATATACATATACATACTGTGTACACTGTTATTACAATTCAAAGGTGTTATCATCATCTGCACATAAGCTATGAGATCCTTCTGAGCTGAGCTCCTCCCACAGAGCAGCATATATCAGAACATACAAAGAGAGAAAAGTGCAAGAAGTCTGTCTCCATGGCAACAGAATACGATGTGAGATTAAATGATGAACTCTGTGTGTGTTGCAGCACTACGAGGCTCTGGCTAACAGAGCGTGTGCTAACGGTCACATCATTGATATCTACGCCTGCGCTCTGGATCAGACCGGCCTGTTGGAGATGAAGTGCTGCCCCAACTACACCGGGTACACACACACACACACACACACACACACACACACACACACACACACACACACACACACACACACACACACACACACACACACACACACACAGTGATGTAATGTATATATTCTTCAGGGGCTACATGGTGATGGCGGACTCCTTCAACACGTCTCTCTTCAAGCAGACCTTCCAGAGAGTTTTCACTAAAGACGTGCAGGGATCCTTCAAGATGGCCTTCAATGCCACGCTGGAGGTCAAGGTACACACACACACACACACACACACACTCTGACACACACCGTCTCACACACACACACACACACACACTCTGACACACACCGTCTCACACACACACTGGTTTAATAAAGTTTAGATAAACCCTCTCGTTTGTCCCAGACGTCCAGAGAGATCAAAGTCTCCGGAGCCATCGGGCCCTGTGTGTCTCTGCACGCTAAAGGACCCTGCGTCTCTGAGAACGTACGTATAAAATACTACAGTAGTACACAGAGCGTGTACTATTATATTACCCAGTACTGTGATATTAAATATATCATGTATTTATATAACAGGAGATCGGGACAGGAGGAACCAGTCAGTGGAAGATCTGCGGTTTGGACCCCAGCACCACTCTGGCTCTGTACTTTGAGGTGGTCAACCAGGTACACACACACACGCACATGCACACGCGCACACACATGCACACGCACACGCACACACACGCACACACGCACACGCACACGCACACGCAGATGCACACGCACACGCACACGCACGCACACACACACCAAGAAAGAACCACTTCAACAAAATAAAAGCTCCAGGTCTGAAAAAGAAAGCACACAAAAGTCCAGAAACCTCTTTATTATGGGAGTCATTTTTTATACAACCAGACACTCAGTGGTCTCCTGATGATGTGGGGGGGATGGTGGTGTGTCAGTCATAGTAGCCCCACACTCTGAAGGGTCCATCCTCTGGGGGCCGTGAATGTGTGGATGAAATCTCATCCATCCAGTAATGTGCACTTTCAATGTATTGTCCATCCATAGTTCTGCACTACATTTCCCAGAGTGCAGTGTGCTTCCTGTCTGCAGTGTGTGTGTGTGTATCGCTGGCTCAGGTCTGCAGTGTGTGTGTGTGTGTGTGTGTTTGTGTGTGTGTCACTGCGGTACGGGTGTTGTTGTTGATGACGGGGGTCGTGTTGTAGTTGTCGTCGTGGTGCTGATCCGATTGGCTGCTTCCAGCTGGAGGGCGGAGCTCTGGAGGCGGGACTCCTGCTGCTCCTCCCCCACACACACCTGCACACACCTGAGCAGACTGAGACGCACCACTGCCCTGTACCTGCTACACACACACACACACACACACACACACACACACACACACACACACAGAAAGACAGTCACGCACAGCGAGCTCATCGGCCTCCTCGCCAGTTGGTTTGGGGAGGGAGGGAGGGGGGGTATCAGAGATGTTACCATGGAAACTGGCTCTCAGTGCCAAAGCTGCGGGGAGTGGGGAGGCGGACGTAAACACGCGGTCACCATGGTAACCCTTTATTTGCCACTGGCTCTCAACTGTCTGTCTGACGGATGGATTTACTCTGTCTGATGTCAGCCTGTATTTCCAGAGCTTTACCTGACTATGTGTTTTATAAATCTACACACAACTCCATATGTGTGAAGACTTAATAACAGAACACTGCAAACACCTTGACCACAATTTCAATGAATGTTGGCAATGAATTTCGCCCAATCAATTGGAATTGTATGCCTCAAGGTTTTCAATACCTTCTCAATGCCGGCAAGTTTTTATGAAAATTGCATGCTGCAATGCATCATGAAATTCAACTCTGGGTTGGATGCCAAACTCTTGCATCTATGATGGAAGGGAAGAAACAGTCCAAAACTAGGCTTCATTTACCAAAGAAACATGTCAACAGTGCCATTCATAATATCAAAACTGGGCCATTCTAACATTGTCTAATGTTTTTAGGCAGGTTTTCTGTGTGTTCAGACTCAGAGTTAATAAAACCGTGGCGTTTCGTGTAATCCTGTGAAGGCTTTTTTTCAGAATATTGATCAGGAATCCATAAGGTTATCTGACTGATGAGCAGAATCTCAAACCAGCTGTTATCCTTACTTACCAACATGATGTGCAGTTTGTAAGAAGTTCAATAAACCTGTTTACCTGAATGAGATTTAGAAATTCCAGAAACAGCTGTATGTAGCAGTGCAAGCTAGCATGGGACATAACTTAAAAATGCAAAAACGTGTTTGGATGTAACGATCCATTATTTTCATTACCGAGTACTCTGCAGATCATTAAGGGGACTTGAAATATGAGAAAATATCACAAAATCACATATATAAGGGGACATTTTCGGATTGCTGGTTTTATTAAAAAAATAAATAAAAATAGTTGAATCATTAATCACTAGTCAAAAAAGTTAGGCAAATTATTTTCTGTCCATTCACTGATTCATTTATCAACGTTGAGATGTTCACCTGGACCAGGATTTTGTGTCTTTATTTGATGCTTAAAGTTCTGAGATGTTCAGGATTGAACACCATACAACAAAAGTTCTGTTTTAGGTGTGTTTTGACTCACTGTAGACACAAAGAATAAATATCAAGCTGGGTTGGATGACAGATTCTTTAAACTCTGTCTTATAAATCTAATTGTGAGTCCGTATCTCTTTTTCTTACAATCTTTGTTTCAATTTGAAATGTCAGATCTCAAAGCAAATGCTAAAACCTTCTTTTCCGCCCTGGTTTAGAGAAAGGAGAAGTGTAGATGTGATCTTGGTGTTAAATAAAGGGTCAGGAGCCAGAGGAACAGGAGTAAGCCTCTGTAGAGTCCCGACATGAAGGGAGCAGCAGAGTAATGAATCTGAAACCTTCAGTGAAATGCCCCAGAGAGCTTCGCTGCTAAGGTCAACTGCTTAGACATTTGTGCTTCTGAGTGAAAGCTTTTCTGTGTGTTTTGATTCAAAAGGAGGAGAAGAGTGGTGGACGAAAAAAGGCTTTTCGTCCACGTGTGTTAATTTAAAACATTTGAAACTGTCTACCGTGGTGCCAAATAGGACTGCACGATATAACAAACATAACTCGGTTGAACTATTTTGTCTGATATTGCTATAAAATCCATCACATCATTATTATCATTATGGATATATTTAAACATATCATAGTGGTATCTGTATTAAACAATGATATGTTATTAAGTCCATATAATACAATTAAGGATAATACAAACACCACAACCACTTAACCAGAATAATGTACACATATTTTGCATGTAACAAAATATTATGCCTCCTGCTATTTGAATTTTGCATCAGCCCGAATTGAGATTTGATATTTTTCGAACATTTGTGCAGGCCAAGTACTAAAAGTGAGCTAACATTTTAGCTTATCATACTCAAAGATGTTGGCTGGAACAGAACAGATTTTATTTGAAATAAAATCTCCAAAAACAGGTAAGATTAGTATCTTTGGACGACTTCACGATTACTCTGAAAGATCTTTGACCACTACTTTAAAGGGACCATAGTAAACTCCTCTACTGGGACATGTTTCCATGCTTTAATGTTCAACAAGCTCTTTATTTTTCTCATACTGCCTGTGCTGCAGCACCTCTTTTCACCCTCTGTCTGAAACCAGAGCCCAGTCCACTCTGATTGGTCGGCTTGCCGGCTTTGTTGTGATAATATAAACCTAAATAACACACTACAGGAAAGGTAAAACCCCAAGAAAACAGAATAGGGCTTCTTTAAATAGACTTTAACCTGGGGGTGGGCAAGGTAGAACTGGAGATGAACTCTTGAAACATCAGCTTGAATCCTACTGGGCCAAAGAGGATGGAGGAGCAGCGGCTTAACATCCTAAATCTGAGTATTTGTCAAGGTACAGACCTGCACTTGGGTTAACTGAAATTGACTACTTGGCTGGGATAATAAACCAGAATTCATTGATTCAGAGAACCCTGACTGGGACCAACTAAACTGGTTGACCAAATAGGGCCAGAAAGTCACTAAATTTAAATGTACAGAAAATGAATTGGAAACTTTTAAAAATGTGTCTGAAAGGACGAAGGGCATGCGAATATGTAGGCCACCAGAATGAGTACAAGCTGAATCTCTGCTCGCCAAGTAGGGCACATTTGCATTTTACCACAAACTTCACCTGACGTAAAGAAGGCTGAAGCAAAGGGCGTATCACAGGACAAACAGAATTATGCTTACCTTTACAACTCATACAGAATTATGCTTACCTTTGGGCTAACTCAACACATCCAATAAACAAGTGCTTCTGATCTACAACTGAACTGAGGTGCATTACATTTACTTAATTGATTTGTAATGAACACCACAAGAGTCATTTTACAACATGTTCTTTTTAAATATTTAGCCATTACATTTTCAACCATATTTTCTGCCTCTCAGCCGTAATGACCCAAATTGCGCACTGATCGATGGTTTTCATGTTATAACAAATTAGTTAATGTCATATCCCAACGCCAATTTCCAAACAGCTCCTCTCAGGCTCCAGTACTGTTTAAAGTCTCTTATCACATAGATAATGCATTTTCTCTGAGCTACAAAATACTATGGGGCCTTTGTTATGCTAATGACTGTTGTTTTTTAGTCACAGCATTTTTTTCTTTTCAGATATACAGTGGGGCAAAAAAGTATTTAGTCAGCCACCAATTGTGCAAGTTCTCCCACTTAAAAAGAGGAGAGAGGCCTGTAATTTTCATCCTAGGTATACCTCAACTATGAGAGACAAAATGAGAAAAAAAAAAAAATGTATTTGCAAATTATGGTGGAAAATAAGTATTTGGTCACCTACAAACAAACACGATTTCTGGCTCTCACAGACCTGTAACTTCTTCTTTAAGAGCCTCCTCTGTCCTCCACTTGTTAACTGTATTAATTGCACCTGTTTGAACTCGTTATCAGTATAAAAGACACCTGTCCACCACCTCAAACAGTCACACTCCAAACTCCACTATGGCCAAGACCAAAGAGCTGTCAAAGGACACCAGAAACAAAATTGTAGACCTGCACCAGGCTGGGAAGACTGAATCTGCAATAGGTAAGCAGCTTGGTGTGAAGAAATCAACTGTGGGAGCAATTATTAGAAAATGGAAGACATACAAGACCAGTGTGAGAAAAAGTTTTTAGAGAGTACTTGTCCATGGACAAGTGAGTTTGGCAATTTACTTGTCCGAATACATTTTTCACTTGTCCAGAATGGACACAAATTGGGGCCACTGGAATCTTCTTCTTTGGCATCGTATTTTACATTTTCCCACGGTTTTTACGACACCGGTAACATAAGTGAGCGGTAAGATTTTACTGCATCACACATAGGGTTGGGTATCGTTTGGATTTTAACGATTCCGGTTCTGCTTTTTGATTCCAGTTATTTTCGGTTCTCGATTCCGGTTCTTTGAGAGGGTAAAAATAAGTCCCATGACAAGCTGGGAGAAAAATATATTTATGAAAACATTAAGTCAAATCTGTATTCCTATTTACAAATCACTTCATACTGTTTAATTTCTTACGGTTATTGAATACAATTATATAAAAAATAATCTCTGCATTGTTTAGTTAGTTCTAAGTGGTGCAGTTTGAGAATGTACAATTGGCCCAGTCTCCTCTGATGTTAC